TGGCACCAGACGGAGCGTGGACAGAGGTGAAGCATGAGGGTGGTACCGGCGTGCGTCGGCAGGGGCAGCAGGGGTTTGTAGCGACGCCCGCCGTGACGAGGTCGCGGGCGAAGCGAGATGGGCGGGTGCCGGGGATGTTCGCGCTTCTAGCCATGGAGGACGAGATCAAACGGTCCATTGCCGAGCTTCCTTCGCCGGGCGTTTCTGAGCCAGACTTGCCGACGGGGCCGGCGTACGACCAGGAGACGCCTGAGACATACGCGGCGGCGCACGCGGGGCCACACCACCACATCTGGACCCACGCCGAACACAAGGAGTTTTGCGGGCTGAACGCAGTGGGCACCTTTCAGGAGGTCGGGGCGGAATAGCAACGAGGAACGAACGTCATCTCCTCCAAGTGGGTGTATTCATGGAAGGTAGACGAGTTTGGGCAGCGTGTGCGTCCTAAAGCTAGGTTGGTGGCCCGTCGGTTTGCGCAGCGTGAGGGTGTTGACTTCTTTGAAACTTTCTCCCGTTGCCCTTCCATCACGAGCATTCGTTTGTTAGCCGCTATTGCCTGTGTGCTGGGTTGGGATACGTGCCATTTCGATGCCGAGCAAGCCTTTGTCCAATCGGAACTGGATGAGGTTGTGTACATTCGTCTACCCCCTGGGTGCGGCGCGCTTTCTGGTAAGGTCGTTCGGTTGAGACGGAGTCTTTACGGTCTGAAGCAGGCGTCCCGCACATGGCATCACCACTTGATGCGTGGCATGAAGCGTCTTGGTTTCGAGTCTTGTGCTGCCGATGCGTGTGTGATGCGTCTGATCGAGAGCGGTGTAGTCACCATGGTGGTTGTGATCCACGTAGACGACATCTTTCTATCGGACGTAAGCGCAGGTGCGACCAGTTTGGTGTAGATCTCAACCGGTATGTGCCCATCTCCAACCTTGGGGAACTGCGCTGGTATGCGGGTTGCCGGTTTTCTCGTGACACGGCGTTGGGGACGGTGACTATTTCGCAGCAGGCTGTAGCGGAGAAGATCGTCGCCAAGTTCGGTGTGACGACGAACAAAGAGACACCCATGGTCGTTGGTTTGAAGCTTGAGCAGTATGACGCCGACGAGCCCGATGTTGACGCGCCTTTCCGGTCGCTGGTGGGACACTTGATGTGGCTGGCGAATCAGACTCGCCCGGATATTCTCAACGCGGTACGTGCCGTTGCGAGGTATTCGCACGCGCCGAAGCGATTGCACTGGCAAGCGGCTTTGCATGTCTTGATGTATGTTAGATCCACGAGCGAGTACGGTATTACTTTTCAGAGGGGCATGGTAGGAGGAGACCACATGGAACTTTTTGTCGATGCGGACTTCGCCAGCAAGGCAACCGGCCGGCGGTCTGTTTCTGGGGCACTAGTGATGTTCGCTGGTGCGTGTGTGATGTATCTGTGTAGGACGCAGAAGAGCGTCACCCTGTCTTCGACGGAAGCGGAGTACGTGGCGATGTCTGAGGGGCTGAAGGAGGCTATTTTTCTGCGGTATCTCTGGAGTTTTATCTTTCCGGACCGTGATGTGGGGTGCACTCCGGTGTGGGAGGACAATGTAGGCGCTATTCACTTGGCAAGTAACCCGGCTACGACCCCTAACTCGAAGCACATCGACATTCGCCACCATTTCATCCGTGAGCGTGTCGCGCGGGGCGACTTCAAGGTAGTCCACGTACGTTCGGACCTACAACACGCGGATTTCCTGAGTAAACCGCTCCCCAAGGAGGCTTTTTGCGCGCATCGCGACTTTGTGATGAATATTCGTCGATTTTCTTCTTTGTGTTTTCAGCGGGGGGGCCTTTTCCTACGTGATGTGTTTTATTTGTGAATTTATACTGGCCGTTGATTTGCTGTTGTTATGTTTCTGCTCACTGGTACGTACGATGGATGAGGTAGTTCTGCACAAGAATCATGGGGGGGGGATATTGGTATTGTTCCATGATACTAGTCGCAGGTGTTTTATTTGTTTTGGATTTGTTTGTTTGTTTGGTTCCTTCGTGTTTGGGATGGATGTTACAGCAGGGGGGCTGTTGGACTGGTATATTTGTCAAGGTATTGGGTATTGGAGGAAGGATTTGGCATGTTCTCGTAAGTTATGGTTGAAGCCTTTGTGCTTCCGAAGGTTATTTGAGCTGGTCAATGAGTTGAAACATGAATGCTTTTCCGAGGAATTTGTTCTGAGTTAAGTCAGGACGTTGGACACGTTTTCCCGGAGTTACCCGTCCCCTTTCTGACGTGATTCTGATGTATTGTGTATCTTTGCTGGGTATTCTTCCAAGGGTGACTGTTTGTGCTTTGACTGCTTGAGAATTTGGTAAAGCATTTTTCTCAAGAGGGTGAATTGTTTATTGACAGACCTTTTAGGGGATAGTAATTTGATATCACAAGACTTTGAAAGCTTTGTACGGCATTGTTATGTTGTTGACAGATTGTTTGAAGTGGAATGGTGGATGATTTATCTGCCGTTTTACCTGGCAGTTCGTGAGGTAGGTGTCGTAGATCGTATCTCGTACAGAGCAGGGGGGCTGTTTGGGGTGCTCAGCAGGATACTGATCTACGGGGCCTCCGGGGGTTACGTGGATGATGTTTGTGTATCATGGACATGATACGTGCGGGGCCCCTCGTGCCTCCGCCGTGCATGCCACTCTCTAATCAACCAAGGTCTTGAGTCAACCTTCTTTCTCTTTCGGCCTCTGACGGGCTACCGCACCCAAACAGATGATGTCAAATTGTATCCCCTAAAAGGTCTGTTAATAAACAATCACCCTCTTGAGAAAATGCTCTACCAAATTCTCAAGCAGTCAAACGCAAACAATAACCCCTGGAAAAATACCACGTAAAGATCAACATTACATCGCAGTTGCGTCAGCGCGGGGACGGGTACCTCCGGGAAAACGTGCCCCAGAACAGATTCCTCAGATAGAAATCATGTTCAACTCAATGACCAGTTCTTCGGAAGCACAAAGGCTTCAACCATGACTTATCGAAACATGTGCCCAACCCTTTTTCTCCAATACACAGACATACCAATACAAAAAACGTCCGCAAACAAACCGATGAAGTCATCCCAAACAAACGTGTTCGGAAACAAGCGGTTAGTAAAACGTTCATAAAAACTGCTGCAGCTTCGATTCCTCCATCTCAGCTAGCCTGTGGTCTCGTAAGACCACCGTCACAAGCTGGATCGTGTTCGCAGGCTTGAGGGGCTCGCTGGCCCCGGGAGTGTTTCGAAAACGCAACCATCGCCTGTGATATATGGGTGGCGACCATTATTGAAGCGATCAAGTAAGATTATTTCTCAGTGAAGAGATGAGGTCGTCCTAATCCGCCAGATATTGTTTTTTTTTTTCTAAACAGGGTTTGAACCATTCGGAATGACGAACCAGAATAATAGGGTGAAGGATTGAAAATGCAACATGCGTAGGTCAACAAATTGTGTCCTTTGTACACTTCAGGCATCTCTTCGCGTCTACACCCGAGACTCGGCACGCTCAGAGAGATCCTTACCACACCAGTGTCCTGTTGATCTCAGATGAAACAGTGCAGCCTTCGTGCCATACCGGTGCTGCCACATGCCTGGTGTGTTCGTCTCACACGACCGCTTCCTTCTTTTTTCAGTCGGCTTTTGTCAGGGCTGGAGGCCTGTATGATGATGTACAGCACATTTCGATCACAAGTTTCACTTGATTCAAGTATCGATTTCGATCACAAGTTTCACTTGATTTAAGTATCGATTTCGAGAACAAGTTTCACTTGATTGAAGTGTCGAAATTCGGACAAGATTTCTTTCTTGCATTTTTGCGGGATGGTGTTGGGTAAAAGGATCATTTGCAATTGGGGAATTGCTTGCTTTCACTTGGCGGGAGCTAGGGAGGCTCGATCGAGGCGAATGTGGCAGGGCATGTATCTGTCACGGTTTTGTCTGTCACCATCCCATGTCTGTTACGCATCTGTCTGTCACAATCCTATGTCTGCGTTGCTGCCCGTGCTCCTCGGCCGTGTGATCTGTGATACGCTCGCCGCCAGGTAAATGCCACATGCGTGCCTCTTCCAGATGTGCATGTTTGCCTCCGCACAGCGGGAAGACTTCATATTTTGGTTCTTTGTGGGTGTGTGCACGTGCATCAACGGAAAAGAAACTACCGCATAAAAGTGCAAAATTTTGAACGGGCCGCAGACAACCAACGTCGCACCTGTCGCACCCGTCCCTCTGTCTGGTGCACGTATAGGTGCAGCACGAACGATTCACGTTGCTGTGTGTCGTCATTCGTGCACCATCAGCATCGCAGATAAGACTACTACTGCGAGGTATGGAGTCGCTATCCCGCGGCTCATTACCCCGCCCTATCTATCTAGTAGTACTCCCCTGTTGTCACATCTATCTGGGCGACCTTTGTGTCTCTCGAACATGACGTTCTCCTCGTTACCTCTCTCTACGCCCCTACGGGGGCTTGTTTGGTTGTTTGGCCCACGAGGAGGCCGGGTCTAGGGAATCAGCTGAGCGAATACGTACGACTCCGGCCCAGAACAAGCGTGATGTCGCCTTCATATTCTTAGTCGAGTAGCCCCCCGAAACCACGGCGGGAGTGTCTGGGGCTTTCCAGGCGCCTACAAAAGTGCTAAAAGGGGACAACAACATATATTTAACCAAAATAGCCGAACCTAAACACCAACGCAAACTCCGTGCTGCCTTCCCGAGAAGGCATCCCCTATCCTGCCTGTGGAACAGGTTAAAGGTGTGCTGCGGATGTTCAATACCTCTTTCATACTGCGGTACACTGGAACGACTTTCACCTCTTTTAACAAAACCTCTGTTTGATTGTTAGCGTAGCTGCGATAGCTGCGATAAATTCTGAAGTCAACACACCTCAGGGGAACACGCTTGCTCCCTACCCTGTCTACCTCACGTCATCAACCGTCATCTTCCCAGGTTAGTTCGCCTGACCGTTCAATACCTCTCGGAGCACCCTGCGTAGTAGTTATCTCCCCACCAACACCCCTCTGGTGGCGTCGAAGCCATCCCGCTCCCAACAGAGGACACCCCCGTGCTTGTGGGGAAGTATCGATCTGCCTTGAGGCACGAGCTTGTGCGTCGACCTGACTTGAGGCAGCCGCTTTTGTCGTCCGCCCAGCTGGAATGTTTGCTGGGGTGCGACGTGCATTGTTGAGCACTGTTGACATGTAGTTTGGCGTAGGAGCAGTAGGTGCAACCTCCATCTTCTTACTTTCGGCCCCTTTACTACGTCGGCGCTTTTTACGTCTGCAGCAAAAGCAAAGGCAAAACTTGAGAGATTTCAAGCACTTCAGTACGATCAATCCGCCCAAAGCGGAAATCAACGCAAACAATGCAAAAAATTCCGTAATGGTCACAGTGATGAGCGCCGGCCCCCTGTCATCGTTAAGCCATGTTTCCGTCACGTTAATCGTAATGGAGCAACTCGACGAATGGCAAGTCGGCCGCACAGAGTAGGTGGCGAACTCCCAAATGCAATCGCCTTCAAACCCATCATGAATGGTTACAGTCATGTTATCCACCACGTTGCTTTCATATGACACGAAAAGCATGCCGTTCAAAACATGTTGTACATCCTCAGGAGCACCAACGAAAACCATGTTTTGTGAATACACCCCATCGCTACGACATCTCCAGTTGTGCGTCCCACTGCATGGATTCACGAAGCTGACTCTAGATCTCAAAGTATTGTTCAACGTCAAATATCCGTACTCTGCTGTGACAGAAACACGAACAGGATCAACGCCATCGTCTTTCTCGGTGATAGAAAAGTTATAGATGAAGAGCCTATCAGGACGAACATCGTCCAAGATGGCATCATCGTCAACAACACCGGTAGCTAGAGTTTGAAGAATACTGTCTCCGCAGCGTATGGCGCTCTGATCGTCCACATTTCTGACCTTGAGCTCTTGGGAAACCTCAGGGGAGAAGATCCTGGTACCACCTAGTTCTATTGAGGCGTAGAATGTTACTATAACATCATCTAGCTCGGGGAGTTGAGTGCCATTCCATTGAGTAGTGGGATCTGTGAAGAAGTCCATCTGGGGTTGATACACCACACTTGCTCCTTCGTCGTACGGATACTTTACTGGACTCGATAGTGTCGATCCCACTTCGACAGGCATATTGATGCCTGCATCAAACAAGTTGCCGTAGACGGGAACACCAGAAATGGTAATCGACATATTTCCGGCATTATCACTTTTCGTGGAGCCGAACAGCTCTACTTCACAGTTTACGTCCTCAAAGCACCACCAAATCTCTCTTTGGCTAATGGCCGATACCCCACTCAGAACCGTGATGTTAATCGCCGCTGGAACCGAAAAGTTCCAGTGCGAATCAAAGACTTGAAACGTAAACATGTCATCTCCCACCGTTTGTTCTGTTGGAGAGTTGGAGCGCAACCAAACATTATCATGCTCGTAGGCAACCATCGGTCTCCATAATGGTTCGTCGTTCGTGACGGCCACGTTCGACGCCGACCCGTTGTTGAACACCTGATTTGGTAACAAACAATGTCGATGGTCAAGCAAGCAGTTACAGCTAGGACGTTGAGATGAATGTACCATTTAGTGTTGCATATCGTATCGTTTTTTTCGATATATCGTATCGAGTTATCGTATCGATATCGGCTATCGAAAACATTTGAACTTTTCAATATATCGATATTTCGATATCGATATGATAAATCGATAAATACTCCACGGAACCCCCGATGTTTACGGAACCCCCACCGCTGCACACCACACAGCCACACAGCACACAGCAAACAGGAGGTCGCGAAATGCGCGCATTCAACGATCGAAGTAGCTGCAGCTACTACTATCCATTTATCTCTCGTTATTGTGCCATTTTTTTCTCATTATTGTGAGAGCTTGGTTTTTCTGCGACAAACAAGCTTGCTTTTTTTGTTGCGGTGAGCGATACCGCTGAGCTTTGTTGAAACAATAGTTGGAATAATCAACCGATGAAACGATTACCCACATAATGTTTTTTCAACTAGTTGGCTGTACGCTGACTGCCGGTTTCGGAGGCCTATTTTCCGGTAATTTTGATGGGAAATGAAGCGAAATTACTCCATTTTTTTTGCCTCCGGCGGCGCCTCCAGCGGGGCCCCCTCACCAGCCGGGGGGGGGGCCGCTTGGGCTCGCACAGCGAGCTTCTGCGCCTTCGCGCGTCAGCTCACTATGCTCGCCGGCTCGATTCGCTCGCCAATATCGATATCGATATCGATATCGAACACTTCACGGGCGATATTGTATCGAATCTATTTTTTGAATCGATATCCAACACTATAATAGTACGTTCTGTTCGTGATTCTTGTTCATGGAGAAGCCACACAATTCACAAATGAGCGAAAAAAAAAAAGGCAAGAAATTCAGGGGGGAAGGAATGTACAAAAAAATCATACAACCGTCAGCAAGGTTTGGTCACGGTGGGGCTGTGCAAAACTATTGTCCTTTGCTGTTCAGCACACTGATTCTTCTACAATCCCACAAAACGAGGGGGATAAGCTATGTACAAGCATAAATCTCTGTGGACAATCATCCCCGCAACCTCGAACGATGTATCTAGCTCACAGCCGTTGTCTTACTCATTCAGTTGGACTCGGTGAACATCAATCTGATGTGTGCGGCAAACGAGGCTAGAGAGATAGGTGGCAGCCCGTTGGCATATTTTTCGCGTTTTGTGAACTGAAATCCTGAGTGTTCTATAGCCTACGGACAACAGAGGGATGCCCAAGCCACCAGGACTCTGTCCCATCATCGGGTGTGTGCAAGCAATGTTCACACACAAAGTCTCCGATTAGATCCAGTGAGAGCGAAGCCCAAAGATCCAGGGGGGCACCCAAAAGCTATCAAACGATGTTTGGTTCCTGTGTCTGAAACTACAGAATAAATCTTCGTATGCATATTCGACAAAAGTAAGTGCGGATGTGTGTACTGGATACGTATTCGATGGTTAAGAACGACGTTTGTCATGGATTACTATTGAACACTGCTGCTGCTGTAGATTGTTGCAGCCGTAACCAACAACAGCAGCAGCAAGCAGTGACGTCATCTTCATTGGTTGAGAACGATGTTCTTTCGTTCGTTCGTTCGTTCGTTGGGGTGAACATACTGTAGATTTGACCGAATGTGCACCTATTTTCCCCATCACAACCACCACCCCAACTAACCTGTCTTGACCCCACCTTCCCCTCCACTGCTGCTGCCCTAAACACCGACTCCACCCACCGCTCCAACCCCCCCCCCCGCCAAAATATAAACGATGAATGGTTCCTGCCATCATCCCATGGCATGTGGCGTACGACACAAAATATTTATGTCTGAGGCCGTGGGGGACATTAGCTTTGTCTTTCACGAAAAAATTACCCCTTTCAGCAATCTCCAACAACCAACGTCGTTTTCATCCAACGAAGACGAACGTTTCTCCACTACGAATGTTTCGAGCGTTCAGTGCAACTTTTTGCCGATTGGTCACAGCCCACCACCGCTTGGCATGCAGCTGACACAAAAACAAAATCCTTATGTCTGACGGCTGAGCATGTTTGCGATATTGCTGGACGCGCACCATTCTGAGACGAGAGTCCATCACTCTCCTACGGATGCGATGTGTCACCCTACGCCCTTCTGCTGCAAGGAATTTTTGCGTCATTTCCTGCAACTGGCTGGGGGTGTGCTCCTTGACAGTCGACATTGAAGCCGCCGACTTCAGGTGCCCTACTGCGGCTGATTTACGTTCGCTTGCGCCACGGAAGTGCGCTTCATTCAGGGCTTCTTCCTTCTTTTTGTCTTTTGTTCTTGCCGTACTGTAGCAGACCATGGAGATTTCCTGATTTGTATTTTCATAAGAGCTTAGTACTAACTCTCCGGCACTTTCACGTTTGAGTTCCTGCATGTTTTGCTGCCCTTCCGCAGCTGTGCGTGTCGACCGTTGAACGTTGAACTTCCAGGGAATATTTACACTCCAACGTCTACTGACTTGATTCTCTATGGGCATTTTCACGTTTACTGCCCTGCAAGTTGGTGACCTTTTCGCAGTTAGTGTGTCTCATCAAGACTTTCATTATTGTCCAATTTCCCAAGGGCGCACAAAAAAACAATTTCCGACACCTAACCCCCAAAACTTTTTTTGGGGCCCTCCGGGGGGGGGGAGGGGACGAAGGCCCCATCCCCCCCCCCCCAAACCCCCCACAAAATCCCAAAAAAACAAAACCACAAAAAAACCCAAAAAAAAAAGGGGCACAGGTCCCGGAAGGGGGGAGGACAAACCCCGGAGCCCCCCCCCCCAAAAACCCCACCCCCCACCCGCGGGACCGCCCCG